AGCAGCAGGAACGCTATTAGGGAAAGGTTGCCGCAAAGTAGACATATTGTGTTACTTGCATACACATGTATAATGTATATACTTCTGCTAACGTTTTTTTTGCCATGGGTAACTTCTAGGTTATCAGCAAGTGAAAATACAATATTGAAATACTTTCATTCTGGATTTGATTTCTTCCAAATTTGCAAAGATAAAAGTTAAATTAAAAAAAAACTGTAAAACATTGCGCATGCACAGATATAGGCATGCACACTTATTCCCAGACAAGATCGATGAAGATGTTGCTTCTTTGCCTGCCCAGTACAGGCTGCTGCTGACCGTTTGTGACAGCAGGAACAGTGAGAGGAAATGGCTGTTTCATATAACAGAAAGGAGCATTCTACAACACCATCATCATTGAAATTAAATATGAAAGAAAAAATATATACTCAGACTCCTCACATATTGTTAACCATAACAATAGCAGAGGCTTTCTAAGATAGAGTCTCCATCCATGGAGTGATCTACAGTGCAAAGTGGCTAACATTTCCTGGGACCAGACCACTCAGATTTTGGCAGAGCTAACAAAGTGGGAGCTACGCTTTGTTTCAATTCACACCTTCATCAGGCTCCTCCTGATACAATTTCTCTGGATTCCCTGTAAGAATTTGGAATTCCTCTCTCCTTAGAGAAGATGGAGATGCTTTTACCAGTACGTTATCTTCTCCCTTAGAGTCAATATAGGAGGATTTGCTGGGCAGGGGTTTATGTTTATAGCCACCCACGACAGTTTTGCTGCATATAACTTTTTCTTCTTAAATTGACTTAGATTATGTATTTATGGAAGATTATTTGGATTACATAGAAGCTTGTTAATGTTACAGATCAGTATAGACACCATCAGCAGCAGGGAAGCTGTAGAAAGCAGGAAAGGGGGGCTGTAGAGTAAACGTATCTCTTTAGAGGCAACGCTGGGTAATCAGTACATTATAAAGGAACAGAGAATCACTGCAGTGGCTTGCAGTGAAATTTCAATTTTTTTTTTTTTCCGGCAGAAAACAGCTGCCTGTCACTGTGGAAAATATTGGAAAAAAATGTGGAAAAATTGTGGAAAAAAACTCCCAGTTAATAACCTCAGCCAGTAGCAGAGTACCCTAGAAGAAATGAGTCTGCTTTCAGCAGCCTAAATGCAAAAGAAAATGCAGACCTAGTACTTGAGCAGAATTTAACATAAATTTTTAAACTTACTCTTTCAAGTAATGAAAGTGTGGCTTTTAAAGCTCCTTCAGGACGTCCAAAAGGGAAACAGTATCTTAAAAAAAAAGAGAGAGAGAGAGAGAGAGAGAGAGAGAGAGAGAAAATAATCAGAATTATAATATCTAAGAATTTACTTTGAGATGTAACTTCATACACTACTTGCATTGAATTATGTTAACGGAAAACTCCAATATATGATGTATTAAGGAATGCAGAACACCTCTTCAGTAGTCTACCATGGAGCATATACATAATATAGCAGTATCAGGCCACTCGCAGCTCAGGCCTAAGTACAGAAAAAATATGAAAGGTAAAGAGAATTTCTTTCTCTTTCTCAGGTATGAAGGATATTTAATCACCTACAATGAGCTTAATTGTCATCTTTCTGGAGATACAATTTATCATGTAGACATGACAGCTCCTGGAGCTGTAAAGGAACACTTAGCATATTACAGCCTGTTTTAATATTGGATTAAGACTGGAACAAAATATCAGATATCTAAGTTTCTGTAGAAATGGGTACAAAAACACCTGCAGATATTCCCCTAATTTTTCCTATTATATAGCTATTAAGTAACTTGGGAGAGCATTTTATGTTATCTTAATTTTTATCCGCTACAGCTTATATTATGCCCACTTCTGTCATCAAATTTATAGCATTATGTAAATAAAAAAGTGATCCTATTCATTGCCTTGTTTTTAATTTTTGTCTGCTGAATGATCCAATATATCATCTCAATGAGACTATAGAGCTCAGGCAACCATAACCTCTCCTAATCCTGTCTAAAAATCTTACTGGGATATCCCCAATTGGAAAAAGGATTTTTTACTTTGCTAAGATTATTTTGTTATTAATATTACTCACTTTTCTAATGGATAAAAGGATTCAGACCACCGAATTTTAGAAAGACATTTTGGTCAGCCAACATAAAGCGCTGTAAATGAGGTCAAAAAAGGATTTCCAGCAGATAGAATTCCACTATTTGCTGTGCCTCATTTTGTTTCTTTCTGACTATAGTGTTAATGACTCTTGGAGACATGTTAACAAATTAGCAAAGCAAATTTAATGACTCTTGGGCTTTAAGTCATCTTGAAACGAAACACATTTTTAGCAGTTTTGTCTCCTTCCTCCTTTACCATATATTCACATAATCCTGGAATTGTTTTTCCCACTGTTTACTTCTACAAATTTGTAGTGACACTTTTTGAATATTTGTCACTAATTCCTAGATTATATTTAATATTTCAAATCAAAGACTTCCTACCAAGTATATTCTGCAATATAAATGATGCAACAAGCTTCCACCATCCAACGAGTTTTAAACTCAAGATGCAGGTAGAAGTCCCACAGCAGAGTAAGGTTATTGCAGTTTATTGTGGAGACAATATGTATGAGCACAACAGAGGGGTCAGGCTTATGTGTGCATTTGGTCCAAGTTGCCTCTGACAGAGAGAAGCTGTTTTTCTGAGCTAAACAGCTTAGAGAAATAGCAATATCCACATATGAGGCCTAAAGCAATGCTGAGCTTTCCCACATCCAGTGTCACAGCCCCTGTGCTGCTGCGGAGACAGGCTGCAAGGCTCAAGGTGGATATTTTGTGGCAAGGAGAGAATTCATCTTTTGGATGAGGAAATAAAGGAAGGGAGCATATTTCTTCCCAAAAGGAATGCCCTGCAAGGAGAATCTTGTCTCTCTCTCTAGTTTAGTACAGAGATGAAGTCTCAAGTGAAGACTGCTCTGTTCTATACACTCATCCCCTTCGCCCCCGACAAACAACCTTGTTATCAGCATGATAGATACCAGAGGATACTAGATGCTTACCTCATCACACCAGAAGCAGGAACATTCAGTGTAACTACCATATAGCAAGCTTAGCCAAACAAAAGAAAGCTGTGTTTCACACAGCACTATTTCAGCTGTGGAACAGGTGGTTACAAGATGTTACAGAGATCAAAAATATAAATACACTGTAAAAAGGATGAGGATTGGCAGAGTCATGGTAGAAAGGTTGATTATGTGTGATAAACTAACAGATTTGGTATCTAGATGCCAATTTTATGCAAAGGTTTATAAACCATTAATCACTAGAGAATAGAAGGATAGCAGAAGAAACACCACCCCTGGTCTGCTCTGTTACTTGTACTCCTTCCCTCAGCATCTTCTACTGGCCACTGTCTGATCTGGAATAGCCGTTCTTACATTGATATGCAAACTCTTTATTGAGGATAAGGGACTTCAGCTTATTCAGAATGGATATAAGTATATCATGAAAACCAGCAAATGACATTAGATATCCAGAAAAAGTTTTAGCTGTGCTGTAACAGGATGGTATCTACTCATACAATATTTCTGATCAGCACTGTTCCAGAAACTGGTATGGCTCAGTCATTCTCATTTAGGCAATTCTCATAGTTAGAATTATGGATAGCTTAAACCTCAAAAGGACCTACAAAAGTCAGGCATATATTCTCACCCAATCATTTCTGCCATAGAGAGAATACAACTCACAAGATGTACAAATGAATTCTACAGCTAAATAACTTTTGGTTAAACTCAATACAAATTAGTTATGCCATATTTAATATTCTCAAAACTTCTTTGCAGGTAGATGATTAGATGATTTCAGTTTCATTGTTTTGTTCTAGATCAAAATTGAACACTAGTATGATAAAATTATTCTAGCCAAAACTTAGTATTCTTTGAATAAATTATATACTCACCTGAAATGGCTTATTTGGTTTTCTAAAAGGGAGGAGAGTCTGTCTTTAATTTCCTCAAATCTTTCTTTCTCTTCAATGGATACTGTTCCAATTCCATCTGGCCTGTAATATTAAATATTTAATAATTTTTGACATCTCCTTATCTATACTGTTTATGACAACTAAATATGTCTGTATCTCTGTATGCTTCTGTCAGTTAAGCTTCATGCTGATTCCTCTTTGAATGGTGCTTTTTAATTTTAAGCAAGTACTTAAAGTCTTATCCTAAATGTGTTATTAAAGTCTATATATTAAAATAATATAAAAAAATGAAAGAAAGTTAAATACGTTTCCCAAACATTAGCTTTACCATACAATCACATTTCCCATGCACAGTACACTTTAAAAAAAAAAAAGTATATTAGAACTTTCAGTTACTCTCTTAGTTACTAGTTCCTGGGTAACAACTATTGCTTCCCATTTGAGTTTATTACACTGACCCTAAGTGTGAGTTAACCCTGTCCCTCCTCCAGAACCTCCAGAACTACATCTCACTGTATCTAGAACTGAGTTTAATGTATCGAGACACAGGCAAAGACAACATCACTTTGCTAAATTGTTATTTTATCTTTCTCCACCATACTTAAATCTAGGAGGGATAAGTTGCCACTCGGTCATGACATAAACAATTCTCTCACCCCTTAAATCACTTACATTTGTGATCTGTCAAGTCAAGGTGGAAAGCATGCCTGAACTCTTTAAATTATTACAAAGACAACAATAAAAATCTGATATGGTGGCGATATGTGTAACCAGACACATCAATATACTATTGTATAAATTTGATGTGAAAGAGCAAATAACTTCTATTCTCTCTTCTGATGGATGCCAGGACACTTAACCTCAGCCTTCTGACAGACGGAACGTGCTCAAATTTAAGTAAATTTCACTGTCTGATTTCATTGTCAGGAGAGATTGTGCTCTGGAGTGATAAAGTAAATAGTCCTGTCATATTAAACTTCACTGAAGCATGTCATATATATGACAGAGAAGACCTAGGGGTCCAGATAACAATAAGTGAGAAAGGTGAGCCAGTAGAATGTCATATCTGTCAACCTGCACTAAGACTAGGATCACTACATACCAGGGAACTGTCACTTACACTGAGTTTGTTGTCATACAGAACCACGCTGACAACACCTAAATTTTTCAGAACTGTTAAATACATTTTCAGTGAATGTTTGGATAGCAACAGACATCCTAGAGGAAAAATAAAGAGTGAACAAAAACATGTTTGAAAAATGTACCGTCTATAGCAATGAAAAGCCTATCTCTTCAAAATACGCTTTTAGAAAACACTACCAACTCTGAATCACTATTTAGTTTCTTCCTGACAGCCTTTTGCAACAAACAGCACATAAAAAATATTATTTCCTCAACATAGTTTTGAGACATATTTTGTACTGGTGATGATTTTTTGCTACTCTTGGGGGAATATCTATCCACTAGTGAGAAAAAAGAATTCACAGTCTGACTCTGAGATGATCTTAGGTGGAAAGATTAGACAAATGGTTTTGAAATTCACGCTCATTTGGTCTTCTAGATCTTTTCATTTAATTCTTTTAAAGACAGAATAACCTAAAATAGTAGTACTTTTAGCTGGTTATTTTTATTCAAGTACTACTGTGCCTCCTAGGAAAATCAGATACAAGCAGTCATCTCCTATTGAACTGGTAGGATGAAAAGGATTAGGTCACCCAGAAATTATGCAAGAAGTATTTTACAACTAAAACCAAAACAAAGACATCTTTCATACTCTCCAAAATGTTACAGACGGTGATTTGGACTTGACTGCTCAATTCAAAACCACTACTGAAGACTGGGACCACTCTTTCAAGAACTCAGCCAAGAAAAGCTATGGACTCTTTTGAGAAGAGTACTACAGAGTTTTCATACTATAGTAAATATTACACCACTGGAACAATATTTTCCCAGGAAGGTGAAGGTAAAGTGAATTTGCCTTTCCTCCACATTCCTTTCCTCCTCCTTATTCTTCACAATTGCTTTGAGGATTAGAGAGCTAGACAAAAACTAAACTGTGAACAGAATAGACAATATTCTCTTTCTCACTTTTATGAGTTTTCCATTTTCTGAGAGCTCTGTCAATTGGATTTGGATTTGCCTGTCTTGTCCGCTTAGATCACAGTCTAACTGGCACAGACATAATATTGTCTCTAGTCACATCTCTACTTGGTTCAATTCAGTTGGACTTATATATCAGAAGAGGCTTGAGATAAATACAGGTACAACCCTCATGAACTAGAGCTAGTAAATTCAAGCGGGAAGTAGCTGTTTGACCAGTAGTCATTGTTAAGTAATGACATGAAAAACAGAAGTCAGCGAGAATTCGTAAAAAAAAACTTTCACTACGACAAATTTGCAAAATTACAGTCTTGGTGGTAGTTACTCTTGAGATGGTGATGGATTAGGTGGTGGATTTAGAGTTTGCTCTGGGAATTGACTATCTTTATTCACTTGATGTAATCTTTTAAGGTCTGGAGGACCTCTATAAATATTCTGATTGTCTAGAGGCCTTAAGCCTGCAATAATTTGCAGAGATCATTTAGTGCACTGTAGGATTAAGATCCCTGTGAATAGCTGCAGCACAAGAGATAAAAATGGTGTTGTAATACCAATGGTAATTAGATATGATGGACATTGGGTTGGTAGTAGATGGTTTTCAACCTTCAACTTTGGAAATAGCTTCTCCTAGTGGCCTCTCAGAGGGTGAAATTGTTTACTTAAGCAGGTTTTTTAAGTTGTGACAGGCAGGTGTATTATTAACTGAACGTGGCTGAAGGTTGTTTTCTTTCTGCGATACGTCTTCAATGTTGTTGGTTTTTGCATATTTGTATATCTTACAAACGGTTAAAGTCTTTTAGAGAAATTTTCCTTGTTAAAAATGTAGGCCATCACTTTTGCCATGAAAAGAAAGAGAGCAAGAGAAGAGGAATACACAAATTGATAATCTAATATGTACATACACACAGAGATGAAAACAGCAAAGCTGACAAAAATAATTGCCAGAGAAAGATGAGATATTATGATGAAAAACAAAATACAAGAAAAATACTTCAGCTGAAGTCTTACTTCAGAACATTTATGCAATAAATTACATTTCAAGGGTGTAAGAAAAACAAAAACAAAACTGACAGGTCATCTTGGCTTCTAGAAACAAATTGTTTTAGAAAGCTTCAGGGTTTTCTAAGAGCACTTGTTTTCAAATCCAGTAGCATGCACAATAAAATGAAAGAGCAGTGACAATTTTCAAATTAGCAAGATAAATGTTTGACTTCTTATTTCTTAGTAAACGTAAAATTAGATTGTGTAGAGATGTGATGAAGAGATTTTATTATTCATTTACTCAAATTTTAATACCCAAATTTTCCTTTAAAATACAATCATGTTAATTAAGGCATTTGCAGAGTCCATGATTTATGCTAGATGAGTCTAAGAAAAATAATGAATTACATTATGATCTTAGAAACAGGCAGAGCAGGCATCTTTTTTAACAGAAAAGGAAGAGAGCAAATTATCATGTGGCATTTATGTATAGCTTTAACCAGCAGGCACTTGAAGACTGAGCATTTTGGTGTTTATATTAACTATTCTTCAAACATTCTCATAAAAGAAAATTGGCACAATAGAGCCTTCTGCTGCATGCATTTCTCAAGCTGATCCCACATCTGCTTACAGGTCATACCCTCTTTTTCAAAAGTGAAAGAAAAAGACTAATTCTGAAGGCCTTTAAAACAGATTAAAATGATAAATCAGGTTAATTTTCATGATCTTTTAGGCAGTTATATTCTAGATGGGAATCATTAAAGTCCTTCTACTGAAAGGCTAAATATAGATTAAAATAATATAATTTTACCCAAGGCACATGAATACGTATAGGCATTAATCAGTTGAAATTAATGACAAAATAACCTATAACATTTAGGAGAGTATGTAATATTAGCTGTTTCTTCATTGCCTAAGATGGCAGCCAATACCCTAAAACTTTGTGCTAACATTTCTTAGTAATGCATGATTTGTGATTTCTTTTCCATTGACAATTCATCTGAGCCTCTTCAGAAACAGATCTGTCTTGATATGTTGAAAAATGTGCCACTGTAAATATTTTAGTGAAGGTAAAATTTGAGGTCAGCATATTTTAATTATCAGCACTTTCCAACACAGGACAATATCCTGTCTTAAGCCAAAGGTGAGATCAACATGGCTTCACTTAGTGCCTGAAAAAGGGCCAAGAACTCTGCTTCCAGCTTTGAACTCAGGACAGCTCTACTGAAAATTTTTTGAAGGCTATTTACAATAATAATACGTATTACTCTGTCATTAAGCTCTGTCATTAACAGAACATTGTTAATTAAGAAAAATACTTAATGGTTGAGGGAGGCTTCACATTAGAGGTTTGAGGTATGGTCCTCATAAGAGGTGAACTACTTAAAAAGAAGAGGATGTACTGCCTATACCTTGGAGACGATCAGCTTCCAAAAATCAAGAACGAACGGATGATGCAAAATGTCTGGCCAGGGAAGGCAGGGGTAAATACAGGCCAGTCAGCTTGACATTCATCCCAGAAAATTAGAAGAAACTACAATATAATGACATTTAAAGACAAAATTAAAAAAAAAAGGGGGAATATGATCTATTTGGAAAAGTCTGTATGGCTTTTGAAGCTATAAAGCAGGGAAGTCCTACCTTCCAAAATTAAGTTCTGTAGAGGGATCAAAAACATGTGGATGAGGGTGACTTGATTTATACACCGTACTTGGATTTCCAGAAACCTCTCCGACCGAAAGCTTTTAAGGCAACTAAGCAGCCTTTGAATAGCAAGGGAAGTCCTTACATTTATAGTGAAAAAGTGAGAGTAGGAACAAACAGTGAGCAGCTGCAGTGGAGGGAAATTAGCAGTGGAGTTCTGCATGATCTGTGCTGAGACCTGTGCTATTTTACAATATTCACAGATGACCCTGTAAATGGCTAAGAATTGAGGTGAGAGTTGGCAATGATAGTTATGTGGCATAGTACAGAATATCAGAAGGACCTTATGAAAATTA